TGACTTCTACCCTTCAGAATTATACGAACATAATTCCTGTGCTTCAAGCCATCTGATCTGTAGCATTCGGCTACAGCAGCCTGGGCTGAGTAGCACAGAAACCTCAGTTCGAAACTGTCCTTGTCCATGTAATAATTACAGTAAGGTCACTGGGGTAGCACTGAATGCACTGCGGCTGGTGTTCTCCTGATGGGGGGCCATCCGAAGAGGCAAATAAGTACAGCAGGAAGATGATGGGAGTAGGAACAGGGACAAGAGAGCCATGCAAAAGCCAAGGAGAGAGGGCTGGACCAGGAAGATCCCCCTTCCCAGGCCCCGGAAAGACCCAACTGTGCTGACATCTTCATCTCCAGCTTCCAGCCTCTAGACCTGAGACAGCACACTTGTGAGGTTGGCTAGCTTGTGCTATCTGGTCACACCAGTGAACTAACACCACCTTGAAAATGGGGTAGTCACTTTCCTGTTAGGAAACAGAACATGTGAGACCCTTTCATGCTTGGGAAATCCAGATGTGTGTTACAGTCCAATAAATGATACATTCAATTTTAATAAACACGATAAAGTTTTGGAAATGAAAAGTTATTTTCTATAGCATCCAAAGCCATGAATTTACTAGCTGTTCTTCCTGTTACATATATGAATGTTTAATACTTACAGCTTATGTGAAATATTGTTACTTTGTTAACTTTAGGAAGAAACTAACACTTCTATGGACATTAGTATTTTCAGAGACCAGTCAATAAGTTTTCTTTTAAAATAATGCCAGTTGTCTACATGAATTGAGATTCTGGCTAATAAAATACATTGTTTTAATGTAAGCTAAACTAAATACATTATAAAACATCAAAATACTATTATCTAAACCTTTTAGAGTTTATGGTACTGCACATAGTTATTTTGTTTCTAACAATAACCTACTGGAAATTTAAGCATTTGGGCTTCACTTAGAAAGGAAAGACTATAAAGCAAGGCCCATGCTCCTGCCAGTATCCCTGGCCACGGGTGAAGGAGTGCAGGCTGCTGGATGGGATGAGAGCCACAGGCTCTCAATTCCAGACCCCAGCACTGACCCATGGACACCCATGCTGATGTCATGGTACTTCATCCCTACATACATAAGGCCCTGGCTTGTTCAGCGAAAGGGCGCTCCCCTAAGCCTGGCTACTCACACACTCGTCTTTAGAGTCATACTATCACACCTACGTCTGAGACGAGAGGTGCATATACATATTCTAGGTTGATTAGTACTCATAAATGGAATCGTGACGAAGTTGCCCAAACTTCATTGTAAAGGTAACACAAAAATCGACTTTATTTTAGTGACTTCTATGAGAAGATGATGATCTTTATAATGGGCACTCGGAACACACTGGTTTCCAGCTTTGTGAGCACACTAAGGAAGTGTCTTCTAGGAAACTGCACAGCAATGTTGCATGAGCATTTCTAACTGCAGCTGAACGAGTAAAAAAGTAAGAATGGCAAGTCCCTGAGCTGTGATACTAAGTGATGCAGGACCTCCTATTCATTACACTGCCCTGTGCTCATCACAACTACACTGCTCAGAACGCATCATCCTTGTTCTGTAGACGGGAAGATGAAACTCCGAGACGGTCAACGGTTTGCCCAGATCTCTCAGCTGGAGGAGCTAGAACTGGGCTGTGCACTTGACCACTTCATGCTTCTGCTTTCATAGATGGGTCTACTTTGTTAATCTAATCCCTGCAGAATTCCATGGGAACCTGTCTGCTGTCCTCTTTAACGTAATGCAATCCCATTGAGTTTGGTTATGTGATCACCTAAGATTAGAAGTAATCATTCATAATAACAGTATGGGCTCTGGATTTTACTTAGTGAACATTCTTCATATGATGTTGTTATTGGTTTCGTTCATGATTCCTGTCCCAGAAGTTTCTTCCCAAGGCCAGCCAAAGATATGCTAGTCTTCCTCCGGTTTTTCTGTATTAGAGCAGGCCATTAAACTTTGATCTGATCTTGACTGACAGCAGTTCCCTAAGTCTTAAGACCCTCCTCACTCCAGAAGTGTGCTGCACATAGCCTAGAGGGAAGAATGATGACCCGTGCACAGGGAGTCCACAAATGAAGCTTAGAAAGACACACCGTTGGATTCCCACACCACATCTACTAGCAATCAGACCGCACAGTGAAGTTTCCATAAAACCCAATGACAAGTTCAGGAGCTTTCAGACAGTTGAATGCATGGGAATTCTGAGAAGTTGGCATATCCAGGGGGAGGGCAGAACACTTTACACTTTTACCCAGGCCTCTTCTGAGTATCCTGCATATGTACCCATTGGATGGTCTTTACAATAAGTTGGTTTAAATATTTCTAATTGAACCCAAAGAAGGGACTCTGGGAGCCCCAGTGTGGACCCACTGGTTAGAAGCACAGGTAAAACTAGCTCAGGCTTGTGAGTGGTACCTAGATGGGGTGGACGGCCTTGGGGTCTGAGTCTCAGCCCGTGGGATCTGCTACCATGTCCAGGTAGCCAGTGTCAGACAACTGGTGCCATGTTTGTGGAAACCCTCCAACACTATATTGTGTATACAGTAAAACAAACAGTGTGAGTTTGAATCAGGGGCTTGTTTGTTTTTCCCAGAACATGCGTCAAATTGAAAAGGTTCAGAGGAGAGCTTCTGTATGCAGAAAACATTAAAACATACAAAAATGTTGAAACAGCAACCTAAAGCATATCAAATAGGATTATCCAGGGCAAGGAAAAAAATAAGCATAACTTGGGAAGGAGCAGCCAGAGACCCAGAGAAGGTAGCTCCATTGGCTGAGTAACTCTCATGTGCCAGGTGGTTACCATCCTCATCTGCTAATCCTAAGTATGGCCAACTATGCAGACTGTTCTGTCCCCACTTTGAGGCTCAGGGAAGCTTGGCAAGCTGCCCTGGTTCTCAGTGCAAAGTCTTTGCTCTCTGTCTCCTATCCCACACAGATTCAGAAACAAAAACAGGGCTGGGGTACTGAGTCTTGTCTAGAATATCCACAAGGCTGTGGGCTCTATTCCCAAGACTTGGGAGAAAAGAATGAAAGAAAACAAAAAAGATAGGAAAAGAGAGAGAAAAGGAGAGCAGGAGACCGTGGAAAGGGTTCTCTAAAAACGATCCTAACAATGCTGGGTGGGTGGCGCACACCTGTGAGCCCATCACCCCCGGGAGGCCGAGGCAGAAAGGTCTGTGTTTGAGGCCAGCCTCGGCTGTTACATAACAAGATTCCGTCTCAAACAAAAATGATCACAGTGGAAACATTTGCTGGCACCAGCAGCCATCTGGAAACTTCCCCACCTCAAACGCCATACTCCACAGACAAAGTGAGACATCAGACTTTGTGTCTTCTTCCTAGCTTTAATGTATCCCGACTTGAGCTGGATGTGGGGGTGCATGCCTGCAATTCCAGCATCCTGGAAGCAGAGGTAGGAGGGTAAGGCTCTCCCCTATATACAGCTAGTTCCATGCTGGTCTAGCTTATATGAGGCCTTGTCTCAAAAAAAGGAAGGAAAAAAATCAAATGTGACACCCCTAAGCCAAGGCCAGGCATATGGGGATTTTCCAGTGCTCTCCTCCTACCTTTCACTGTCTGGCATTTTTTCTCTAAATAACAGTATGGGCTCTGGATTTTACTTAGTGAACATTCTTCATGAATTCAAGGCATTCTGCCAAGAAACAGAGAGAGGCATGGGAATGGTGTTGGAAGAGTTCGATCTGAACAGAAACAAACATGTGTGCACACAGAGTGTGGCCACACGCTTTCGGCTACGCCAGGCACACAAGGGCTGAGCTCTCTTTATACGAAGGCTGGCTCCCCTTGCACCTGGGGTCAAGTCAGAATGAATGAGCTGCTCCAAACAGCACACACAGCTGTGTGTGCTCTGTACCTGTCCCGAGGCCTAAATGAGGAGGGCAGCCAGGCTTTCTTGCAGTAGTGGAAATAAGCACATTTCATTTAGTCCAGTGGTTCTCAACCTTCCTCAGGCTGCAACTGTTTAATATAGTTCCGTGTGCTGTCATGACCCTCAACCATAAAGTTATTTTGTTGCTACTTCATAGCCATAATTTTGCTACTGTTATGAATCACAATGCAAATACTCATTTTCCAATGGTCTTAGGTGACCCCTGTGAAAGGGTCATTAAACCCCACCAGAAGGGTCATGACCCACAGGTTGAGAACCACTGATTTATCTACTTTAAGCTGCAGCCTCAACACCCCTTCCATGTATGACCCCTAACTCCCATGCTGCACCCCTGGCCCACGTGTATTCCATGCATGGCCCCACTCCCATGCTGCACCCCTGGCCCAGGTGTATTCCATGCATGGCCCACTCCCATACAGCCTCCCTGAAGCTATCAGGCCCGTGGTCAATTAAATGCCAATGAGAGCTGGATTGTGAAAAGGCTGTACCCCTGGCCCAGATGTGTTCCATGCATGGCCCACTCCCATGCTGCACCCCTGGCCCACGTGTATTCCATGTATGACCCCTAACTCCCATGCTGCACCCCTGGCCCAGGTGTATTCCATGCATGGCCCACTCCCATGCTGCACCCCTGGCCCAGGTGTGTTCCATGCATGGCCCACTCCCATGCTGCACCCCTGGCCCGCGTGTATTCCATGCATGGCCCACTCCCATGCTGCACCCCTGGCCCAGATGTGTTCCATGCATGGCCCACTCCCATGCTGCACCCCTGGCCCAGGTGTGTTCCATGCATGGCCCCACTCCCATGCTGCACCCCTGGCCCAGGTGTATTCCATGCATGGCCCACTCCCATGCTGCACCCCTGGCCCAGGTATATTCCATGCATGCCCCACTCCCATGCTGCACCCCTGGCCCAGATGTGTTCCATGCATGGCCCCACTCCCATGCTGCACCCCTGGCCCAGATGTGTTCCATGCATGGCCCACTCCCATGCAGCACCCCTGGCCTAGGTGTATTCCATGCATGCCCCACTCCCATGCTGCACCCCTGGCCCACGTGTAAACCCTAGTGCCCACTTAGACTTGATTACCCCTGGTGCAGGCCTGCCATTGGTGTCTCTCTCAAGGGGAAGAGCTTGGGATAGACGAAGGTAAACATGGGCTCACTACACCGGTGACAGTGTCCCAGGGGGCAGTGCAGCAGCTCCAGGAGACTTCTGGGTAATGATATTGGAGATAAAAAGTTCAGACCTGGAACACAAGAGAAAAATCGGGCCCATGAGTGAAAAATCCTATTTCCTTACACTAGACATTTGAAAATACTTCTCTTTGTTACCAAATAACTTCAAATAGTTAAAAGTACTTCATGTTGAAAATTCTGCTATCTGATAGGTATTCAATAAAAATCTAACATTATTAGGAAATGAAAGCTGTTTTTTTTTATAGTTTTGATACTAAAGGAAAATGAAAATCCACTCTTTTAAGAGCAGCTAGAAGCTGTCCTGAGGCAGAGACAAGGAAAGAATCAGATCAAATAGTCTTTAGGAACAAGGATCAAAAAGGCATCTGTGGACACAGAGCGGGTTTGCAGGCTTTCATAAGTCAGAGAATTGAAGGAGGCTGAGGTCTGAAGGCTCTCCCCAGCTCCCATACAGCCTCCCTGAAGCTATCAGGCCCGTGGTCAATTAAAAGCCAATGAGAGCTGGATTGTGGAAAGGCTAATTATTGAAAACGATCAGATGCTGGAAGTCAAGGAGAATGAATGAAAATCAGGAATCAAGCTTTTCCTGTTTCATTCTCATGAACGAAAATAGTGAACTTTCTTCCCCAGCTTGGACCGAGCCACAAGGGACATAGTTAAGCAAACCAGCTCACCCCTCCCCGCCCTGCCTCGCCCCGCCACACACACCCAGGCATCTTGACACAGGTTTACACGAGCTTTAATACTCGTTAAACACGCAATGGAAGGAGGAATGCGCAAAATGAGGAGAAACCCGAGGCTCACCAGCTAATCTTGGCAAGGAAACAAACTGTCTTTTTAGCCTTTTATATCTGCCCAGAATGAACAATACCCACTTAGAAAAATATAGTTTACATATAAGTAACTGAATTTTTTCTGTTCAGTATAAGCAAAAAAGATAAACAACAACAAAAAACAGTTTACAGACCAGCAATATGGCTTAGTAAGGGTGATTACCACCAAACCTGAAGACCTGAGTTTGATCTCTGGAACACACATGGTGAGAGGAGAGAACTAACTCCTCCAAGTTACCCTCTGACCTCCACTTGTACACTGTGCGTGTGCGTGCATGCATATGCACACACACACACACATATACATTCACACACACACACTCACATACACATACACACACACTCCATAAATACACTTTTTTGAACAGCTTAGTTCTGGACGAACTAGATACTCCTGGAAGGGTGAGTTGTTTCCCTTTGTTGTTTTAGCTGAACTCCGTGTCCCCTCCCCAGATGCAAAGACAAAAGCAGTTAGCAGTTTTAAAAACACGTGACATAAGGTTGGCTCAGTCGTTAAGAGCATTTGACACTCCAAGAGTGGACTGAATTTGAGTCCCAGCACCCACGTCAAGTGTGGGAGAATGTGATGCCCTGTTCTGGCCTCCATGGGAACTCCTCAGCCCATACATGTACTTATACACAGATACACACATAAATAAAAATTTAAAAATATGAAATACATTTTATGAACACTGCTCTGGTCATTTGTTTATTCAAGTTTGTTTCCTTTTCTCTCCCCCGTTCTGCTGGCACTGGAACTGGCCTCAGAGCACTGTACATGCTCTGCTGCTGAGCCATGTCCTAGTCCCACCCAGTGCTTTTTTTTTAATTTTTAATTTTATTTTTTAAAATTTTATGTGCATTGGTGTTTTGTGTGCATGTTTATCTGTGTGAGGGTGTTGGATCCCCTGGAACTAGAGGTACAGACAGTTGTGAGCGGCCATGTAGGTGCTGGGAACTGAACCCAGGTCCTCTGGAAGAGCAGCCACTGCTCCCGACCACTGGGCCATCTCTCCAGCCCTCCAGTGCTTTCTTGAGGCACCTCAGATACGTGCCAACAATACCTCTATAGTCTACATACGGCTAGACCCTTTCCAAAACAAGCATTGACCTGCTTGATCACGCTGCCAAGGGCTTCTCGTATTCCTTCACCTTACATTTGCTGGAGACCAGGAGACAGAAATGTAAAACCTAGTTCTTCTGGAGGAGATACTCAACTCTGCTTTGCTCTGCCAGCCAAACACACTTCCACACACCAGTTTCTGTAACTTCAAACTCCCAGTTTCTCTGGGAACTGCTATCCTTTGCAATGAAAACCACATTTTAATGAATGCTTTTGTGTGTCTGCAGGGGGTGCCAAAGGAACCAGTGTTGAAAATATTAAAACTTTTAAAAGAAAAGCCCTAGTCCTGTACATATGACCATAGGACAAGCTTCACGGAAGGCTGGGACAGGAAGACCACTAATATACTCAACACCAGGGAACTGCACACTTGGGTAAAATGGTCAGTTTAGTGTGAAATGTGTACACTGTCATGATAACAAAAAAATTTAAGACGAAAACCAAAACAGACAGGATAAAAGCCAAGTATTTGTTTCCTGACTGAGACAGAAGAGAAGGCCCAGGTGCGTACCTTTCGGAAACCTGTGGTAGGTGTGGTAGAGACTCCGCATGGCCAGTTCCTGCAGAGGCAGGACGTGATCATTCTCTGTACCGATGGCCTTCACCTCAGCTGGGAGGAAGACGGTCAGCTGCCCAGATGAAAAGGATAGCAGCTTCACCTCAGACACCTGGATGGTAACGCCACAGCTGTTTAAAGACACAACATAGCGGCATCAGCCACGAGGTCGGGCTGTGAGCCTGCCCACAAGGCGATCACAATGTGCATGTGACAATTCACGGTGGCTGAGCTGCCAGCTTCCTTTCCAAGTGAGTAGATGCTGACTGACGCAGGCTCTTCCCTCATTCCTGGCTCAGAGACACAAGCAGCAGCTGGAGTGTGGCTGCGGCATCACTTCAGCAAGGCTGTCTCTGCAGCAGCCTTTCCTCAGGCATCTGGGAAGCTTGCTGCGTGAGCTCCGCCGTCCCCCATTCTACTGCCCTTTCTAAGTTTATGCTGCCAGAGGCTTTCAAGTTCATTTTGTTTTCTTGAGACAGAGTCACACTGTACGGGGAATTCACTACATCGATGAGGCTAGCCTTGAACTTGCAGAGATCCTCCTGCTTCTGCCTCCTAAGTGCTGGGGTGGCAGGTTACACTACCATGCCAGGAGTTCAGGAGTGGAGAAAGAGCTGGAGAGATGTCTAAGCAGGTAGAGCACTTGCTGCGCAAGCCTCACAACCTGGGTTTGAATGTGAGGATTGCCCAGAAAAGCCAAACACAGGAACACTGACATCTGTAACCCAAGTGTGTCCCTACCAAGGGATGGGAGATGGGGACAGTGGACTTGCCTGATTTCCCTCAGTGATGGAATTTGATCTAGAAGTATGAGCCAAATCTACCCTTTTCTCCCTAAGTTGCTTTTGGTCAGTGTTTTTATCACGGCAACAGAAAGCAGACTAGAATGACTATTAAGACACTATCTTTGACTTTGGCCCGAGAAGGCAGGGGCACACTGGGCACAGGACTGGAAGGCAGAAGCTCCTTTGTTCATTACAAGTTCATCCTGTGTCCCTTCCTTCATCCCACTGGAAAACAGTTAGGCTGTAATCCTTGTAAGGCTGGGCAGCAGAGGAGCCAAATGAGTCTGTCCATGGGACTTTGTGGGGGCCTGGATTCAGAGGGGTTCACTTTGACTTAGAGCTCCACAGTTTTAGCAGGAATGAAGGCTGGTACATTAGGATGCCACATGGAATGAAGAGTGGCCAACGGCAATATCAGAGCCTGAAGACTCAGGCTGTGTATGCATCTCAGGGGCTGGAAAAAGGGAGCTGGGTTGTGGGAGGGTGGGCCAAAAAGGTAAGCTGAAGACAGTTTTAATTCATGGTGAAGACTATTGGATGTCTCTTTCCTAACTGGTGACATGGACAGAGAAGAGACTGATTCCAAAGAGGGAAAGAGAACTAAAGACACAAAAGGAAACAGGACCAGGGAAGTGATTAGGGTCTGGACAAAGATGGGACAAGAAGGGGTAGGGAATGGCTAGTTGGGTAAGAAACCAGTGTCCTTCTCTGCAAGTTGTAAAAGCAAATAACTCATACTTTCTAACTACTGGTAATTGGGGGGGGGGGAGTCATCTGTTTTAAAGAGAAGTTTCATTACATTTCAGAAGCAGGGAAACCGGAGATGGACTGGACTAATTCCACTTAGTGACTTCTCTTGCAAAAGAGCTGGTTTTGTTCATCTGATCACATGAGCTCTGGTATTTTAGCCAGGAGTCTTTTTTTAAAGGTTATTTCAAAACGATCTAATATTATAAATTTAAATTGTCAAAAACAACATAACTTACTGCCACGAGTTAAGCAGTATAAAAAAAATGGAGAAAAAGTGAATGATTTCTCTCTGGGCTTCCATCTTCAAATCCTCCCTCCAGTCTCTAAGTCAGACCCAATGCTGTTTTGGGGGTCTTCAGTTTTCTCTCTCTATGCGCATGGAGGAAAAAAAAGCAGCGATAGACTCTTTCTTTCGCTGCCCCCCCCCCCAATCAAATGGGCTCACACAATACCATAATACTCTGCTCCACATATAAGCATGTGGGCCGTCAAGCTAGAACCAGAGACATCTTTTAAACAGCCATGTAATGTCCAGAGTGTGACTAAAACATTTGCCACGTTCATCTCAGTGTTTTCAGTTTTCCCTCTTATCATCACACCGAGTCACAATAAAAGTAATACATCCTATGTACAGAAATTGTCATATAACGAAGATGTAAATACCGAGAGGTTCTAAATTGTACTCTCCAAAGACTGCAGGGTAGTACTTGCTTACATAATCATAACTGAGTTACCAGTCACCTCAGTCTTTGGCAGACCTGACTGATGAAAATCAACAGTTTGGCTTGTGAGTTTATCGTTAATATTCTGACCTGCCCCTTGAGGTCCCACCCCTAGGGGTCGCCCTGCATCCTGACGTCTCTTTTTAAGGAAAAACCCCGCCCCTCCCCCTCTCTTTTCCTCCCACAAGGTATACACCACTCGAACCCCCTCTTCCTTTTTCTCTCTGTCTCTCTTTCCCACCTTTCTCTTCATCTCTGTTATAATAAACTCTCCACATGGATGCAGCGTCTGGGTTGCAAATTACTTGCCGCTGCCACTGCCATGCTCCACATGCTGTGCATCTGCCCAACCTGCCAGCACGGTTCCCTGCATGAGTGGGATACCCTGGCCCAGCCAGCAGGGGGTTTCCCACGCGTGCATAATTCATAGCAATCACCTTTGGAGATGTCTACTGGTCCTTCACATCTCTTCTGTGACTGATCCATTTACACTGCTGCTTAATGTTCAATTGAATTTACAAAATCAACTCTTAGAACCTTTCATATTGGCAACCCTTGGTGCATACAATGGAATATTCCATCAGGTCACTTTGGAGATGGCGTTTTCCCCCACCCGCCTGCTGTTCCATGCATCCATCTCCTTCCCCCAAAAGCCTCTCCCCTGCATTCCATGCATCCACCACCTCTTTCACAGCATCTAATTCTTCTGATTTTGTTAGGAGGGTTGTCCTTATGCTTTCTCCTAGTTACCAGTCATATTATTTTACATGTAGGTGCTGTTTGTCTTTTTTTGTCCATGATATAAAATAGAATAAACTGTAGCATTATCAAATAAAATAAATGCTCGCCTCTGAATTGGAATGTTGTCTTCACTATTTTAAGTTCCCAACCAAACACTTTTCAGTTTTCCTGAGGAGGTTCTGGTCTGTTTCGGACATTTGTTTAATCCATTGTCCATCCTATACGGTTCCGATTAACCCACTTCACAGAAGATTGTTGGCTGATATGTCTGCCTGCAGGACATTCTTTGTATTGTAACTCTCCCTTGCTTTTATTCGCCTTGAACTTTACACTAGTTTTATTTGGACATCTCCCAAACTTTCCTAGGTTTCAATTCTTTCAACATGAAGTCTAATACTGATTGCTGGTTTTCCAAGATCTATTTTACCAGAGGAAGACCACCCCCTCCCGTTTGCTGACAGGCTTTTCTGCTTGTTTGTCTTTTGAATTAGAAATGTCTGTTTTTCTTTTCCCTCATGGTAAGTAGGATATAAAGTAGTGGCCATCTTAGGGACTGAAACCTTATTCCAACTCATCTCAAGTTGCACACTGAGTCAACTGCTCAGTGACTAGAAGCTGCCAGAAGGTTGCTGTACATGTGAGGGTCCAGCCAGGAGTCAGGGACAAAACAAAACAAAACAAAACAAAACAAAACAAACCACCAACTAGCCAAACAAACAAACAAACAAACAAACTCCACCTGTAATAACTAGTGAAAAGACTCAATTATTAAAAGGAGCTGTGATGGCTAATACTGACTGCTAACTTGACAGGATCTAGAATTATTTAAGAGAAAAACCTCTGGGTGTGTCTGTGAGGGCATTTCTAGATCAAGTTGGGGCAGAAGGTTCTCCTCCCTCCATGTGGGAGCACACGCTATGGGCCAGGGTTAAGACTGAAGGAAAGGCAGAGAGCAAGCTAAGCATGAGCACTCATCTCTCCCTGCTTCCTGGCTGCTCTACGGCCTCGGCTTCCTGCGGCGACGGACTGTAGCCCTCAAACCGTGAGCCAAGACAAACCTTCCTTCTTTAGTGGCTTCTTGTCAGGCACTCTGTCATCGGAAAACCACCAACACAACAACAACAACAAACCCTGACCCTGCTGTGTGGAAGACACAAGAGCAGCAAGCAGGTACTCCCCCTAGAATATAAGGAACAGGAAGGAAAAAAGGAAAGCCCAGGAAAGCCGGCCACTGCTGGGAACTCCTTGGGGCACAGTCCTTGGGCTGAGGGCAGGTTAGAAGGGCTGAGTACTACAATGTTTGGTGTGTGGCGACCCAACAGGAAGGGGATGGCGCATGTAAGGAAACAATGACTTAGGAAAATAACAGCCATCTGTCAAGTGGAATTTTGGCAAATGTCTTATTTTTTGTGGCAACCTGGCAAGGGCATGGTGCCCAGGTATTGAGTCAAACACCAGGCTAGCTGTCCTTGTGGGGATATTTTTAGACAGGATTAACATTTATATTAGTAGACTGAGAGTAAAGTGCATTGCCCTCTGAGTAAGACTCATGTGCTCAGGTGAAGGCCAAAAGAACAAAGACAGAGGAGCTTCTCCACGGAAAGGGGAATTCTGCCCTTCCCTACAGATCCTGAGAGGCCTCCGAGACTGTGGGAACTGAACCCTGACAAACTCATGTAGTAAGACAATATTACCTATTTCTAAACTTCAGTTTTTATTTTTAGTGAGACAGGCATTTGTGTATTTCTCTGAGGAGAGCATTCTTTGTGGCCTTGTGGATCAATCACCTCAGAGACTCAATATCATGACCATAGGGTCATTTTTATACAATATAAAATAGCCCTTGGCCTGAGCAGGACTGATCTGAGCTTTAGCTTGAAGGATGTCTTTACATCCACATTGAACTTTACCTCCACACTGAATAATGAGAACCCTGAGCGAAAAAATAAAACAATAAAAATATGGAGTAAAAAGCATATTGAAAAGTTGGCTTCCAATTTATGATCCTTCTCTGATTGGTCTCCTGAGTTCTGAGATTATAGTACATCATTCATGGATATTTAGTTCACATCACGGCTGCTGTAACAGCTGCTGCTTCCTAGACCAATTCTGAGTGTTTTTGCATGGACAATG